GAGAAGTAAAATAGCAGTGCTCAAAGTTTACAAATAACACAGAATACTGGCAGTCCACATGGACTTTTCAAAGTCAAGTTCTCAGCCCCTGCAAAAGAGATAAACTTTCCTAACAAAGCCCTCGGAGAGCAGAGAGAGATTTGCTCTAAAAGCTAAAAAGCAGCTGTTGAATGCATTCTCCACCAAGAATGTCAAGGTGTCTTCCCTTTGTAGAACAATGCGGTCAGTTCATCATAGAAGACCGCAAGATTATGCCAGTGAAAATGTGATTTCATTGAAATGGTTCTCCTTTATACAGCTCAGGGCTTTTTTTAGAGTTTAAATTCCAGTCTAAGGTAAGTTCTGTGTGGACCTCTGTCCACATTAGGAGTACTTCGTACTTTTCTGGAGTATCACACTGACATCATTTGTAAGTGTTCATATTGCAGAGAAACAGTCTCAGTTTAAGAACTGCTAGGTGCTCCTATTTATCGAGTCAATAAGAGTTTTTAGGAATAACCTAATCATGTGCAGAGACTGCTTGTGATATGACTGCAGCAACAAACTGGGAGACAAATCAGTCACAAACCAAGTGCTATAACGGAACATATTGAAATCTTACTATAATGAAACATCTTGAAGAACACAGTACCAATGAGGGCTGCAATCATCATGCATCATTCTCCATTATCTAAGATTACTATCAGTGAGTTGAAGAATGATCTAATTCCTTTCAATTCCTAAAGAGCACTGTTTCAATTTACTTTATATAGCATATGGAGCAGCCATAAAATGACATTGATATTGGTTAAATTTAAATTGCTAAGCTTCATATGCATGAGGATCTGTTGTTACCATCAGTGTTTACATGTATTTTACTAAGAACAGGTAGGTTGCTTTTAAATTAATGAAATAATTCTTTCCATCAACTTCTGAAGACAGAAGCACTAACTTTATATTTCTTCGTTATTGTCATTTATATTTCTCGACAAGCCTGATTGCTGTGATACAGAGTATTTCACGTAAAATCAACAATATCAATTGGAAATCTGCTACAGAAGACCTGCTATATACTTTTGAGTAGTAAAAGAACGTCCAGAGAATCTTTTAGCAGTGTAATTCCAAAAGGCATTTTCTTTGTTATAGTTTCTAGCAAGAAAGCTACCAAAATACTACGAAACAACTGCCTCAACTCAGTGATCAGGCACAAAGAAAACACAAGCTGAATAGAAATAAAATCACATTATCTTCTCAGCTCTATTATTCTTTTATAGCAATTACTACCTGGCAGTGCTTAAATAGGTATCATTTTGACAATTTTAGTAACTTTATTCTAGTGTCTAAAAAAGTACTAAATTTTCTATTAAACACCACATATGCACAGAGTGCTAGGGTTTTTCTCTCTGATAAACAATAGTATTTTTTGTCTAACCTTGGCTGTAGTTAGAAATTCTCAGAAATACTCAATGACTACTAGGGATTTTGGAGGGAGATCCCAAAACTTTTCTACTTCTTTTGAACAATAAGAAAGTGAAGGATAGCTTCTACCTGAAAAATTCAGAGAAGAAAAATTTTCTTCAAATGAAAAGGGGAAAGACAAGTCTTGCAGCACATCATAATTTAAAAACACATAAACCCATGTATACTACAATTCTGATACAGGAAAATATATCAGTGCTTAATATCTTGCCTGAAATTACCATCTTTTTGTTGTGAAGTATCAGTGGTGAGAATTGTTTCTACACACAGTAGCAAGATTGTAATCAACAACCAAAAGAACTGGAAAACATAATACTAACATTCTGATTGAGGCACTTTTCTAATAATTTTAAAGTCTGCAAGTTCAGGATCTTGTTAGTTGCTGAAGTGCTGATTACAATTTATATTATGGGGACAAGATGCAATGCTCTAAGTACTCACTAATCTTGACCTTAGAGGAGTCTGCGATGAAAGACCATTGAAATCTCAGGTGACTGTTAATTACACAGTCAGGCTGAAGTTTATGGACTGAAGTCAAAATAAGCCTTTGTAAAAAGCCTCAGAAAGATATGGTCTGCACTGTATTGGGGAAATATAATTATTAGTAAATAAAATTGTTGAAATTGGAGTAATTGTTTTGTTGAAGAAGATGTGGAATACCTCACACTGACCTACAGCCTCATAGAATCTGCCCTGCTTCATCACCACTACAAAGCAGTCAGTCACATACCTAACTGAAAACTGTACACACACAAATCAACTGCTAGAAAGATTTCCTGCCACAGTCATATTTAAAGTATGCATGGTAACTTTGGTTTAAACCCTGTACCTTATTTAAGAAATTAACTGCTACAAACTCTTACGCATCTACATTAGAAAACAAAAATCCAACAACTCACTTCTGAACACAAGGATTAAGTCAAAGCATACGCGAGGGAAAACGCTGAAGGCAAAAGGCAGTCCTAATGAGATTATGAATACAGCTTCATGCTAGTAGTAATCTGATATGACTTCTGCAGGTAAAACAGGTCAGCAATGACAGTGCTTTTGAGAGTCCATATTCACCGGGTTTGGTAAAGTACCATAAAAATAAAGTTAACATTCAGGTGCAAAATGAGTTCTGCTTTATAATGATGAATGCATGAACCGCTTACTTTCTTAAAAGTTAGAAATACAACAATTTCCCATACATGGCTTTTTTCCCCTTTGTTATAGTGCCAGACAGAACTGGCATAATTCAAAAATACCAAAGTAATTCAAAGTGCTGAAAAGGAGATCTGATTTGTTGTGTCATACAATTTTATAAAAGCTATTCAGTTGGAAGGCAATAAATGAGCATTGAAGTGATTTATGCACTTTTGGATCACAATTTCTTGCACAATGTTTTATTTTTAAAAATATATATATGCTGTATACTATTATGTTTATTCTCAGTGGTATAATAAAATCATAAATCTATCTGATGAAAAATAGGCTGTATTCCAATTGTATCATTGTAGCACATAGAGCTGCTGTTATCATACCACTTATAAAGATCAATGGTAACTTGAAAATGATTTCATTCCATGCTACCTCTAATATATTAGCAATAAAAATACTCTTTTTAATTTAAAAGTCACATCAGCTGCTGTCCATCTTCTTTTAAACTCCTCTCCATTTCTGAAACTGACGTATTACAGAAGCAAAATATCACCTGGTAACAACAGAGCTATGTTCTGATTTTCCTTGTACAAATTAGTTTAAAAACTAGCATAAGTGTCAGTTCAACAGAAATGCAAAGTTTTCACTCAGAGGATGGCAAGGCACTGGCACAGTATGCCCAGAGAAGCCCTGGAGGTGTTCAAGGCCTGGCTGAATGAGGTTCTGGGCCCCGACCTGGTGGGCTGGAACTGAGTGGGCTTCAAGGTCCTTTCCAACCCAAGCCATTCTATAACACTGTGACTAACATTGCAAAAGGAACTATCAACCTTCTTAAAAATCAGAATATATTTTCACTTTGATGATGTTAAACATAGCATATAGTGCTAATTGATATAAAATACTATTAAGGAAGAGCGGAGAGTGTAGGTTTCTCAGCCAGTAGCACAAACCTAAGACATACTGAAAAGAAACAGTAATAAGGCATGCCTTCCACAGAATCATCTTGATAATAATCACTCTAACTTTCAAGCTGGCAACAATGACAAAATCAGCGTTATATGCTAGTTGAAGAGCTGACAATATCTAGTTTGCACATTTGCCAAATATGCTGATGCTAATTTTTTCCAGAGTAACATACTTCAGAAACATCTATTACTATTTCATGACAGAAACTGAACACCGAATATCCACATTTCACTAACATCAACACCTAGAAAATTGTACTGTGCAGTGGTCCACAACTCAAAGCATATTACTGGGATCTTCACTCTCATTGCTAGCCTAGAATATCTATCATCACAATGCATGTGTAAACAGTAAAATATTAAATTAAAACAAACAAACAAACAAAAAAAACCATAATAATAATACAAACAAAAGCATAAAAATCTCTCAGCTTGGCATAAGCAATGTAACAGTAACACAGAGATTACCTAAATCATTTTTCAGTGAAGAACAGCAAAGATTTATCTCCGTTATTCAGGAAGCTGGTTGGTAACAGACACAAAGAGCCCCCACAAATGTAGGCTTCATTAAAAGTTACATAATCTTAAACCAGTTGTTATGAAGGCAGTCTTTGAAATTGTGTCTTCCTAGCATGTATACCTTAGCCAAAAGGTAAACACTAACAAAATTTAATATGAAATTATGCTACTTGTTATATTTGAGTGTACTCTTGTTATTATTTTTTTTTTTAAAGGGCACTTAGTTTATTTCTATAAGAGCATCTTTCACAGTATTCACAGTACTTGAGAATGCAGCTATAAAATACCACCAATGCTTTTCAAAGTACAAAGAAGGTATGAAAACTTTACTTTTATTTATATTTCATAGAAATAAAAAGAAGACATTACTTTCAGAGTGACCTACATATAATATAAAAAATGGACAATTACACATATTTGAAAATAAATTCTAGTTATAAAATCCTCTGTTGTACCATAAATGTAATTAAAGTAGAAAAATAATGAATTATATAAGAAACAATAAAATTTACAAATTATTTGCATTTTCTATTTTCATTAGAATTGCTTAAAGGACACTATGCGATCCAATTTTAATTTTTTTCTGTAGAATTCTGTAGCTTCCAGTGAATAAAAATACTCATAGCAATAGGGAATATTAACTGCCATGGGAATACACATTTTCTTCCAATATCACACCTACTGCCATAATTCCTAAGATTAAGATAATTCAATTGCTAAAAATACCATGCAGAGAAAGACCATAGCATAAAAATTAAGTGGTATTAAATACTGTTAAATGCTCAAGTGAAAAATGCAAATTACTACAGATACAATTTTAAGAATTTTAACCTGCTACTAGAAAAGAAAGAAGAGAAAAAGTGCATTTCTTACCAAATTTAAGTACTTTCACTAAGATAGAAATAACATTGTCTTTACCTAGAAGAATTCTTCTTTATTTTTTCATCAAGATCATCAAGGATCTGTTGAAACTCCAGTTCTCCAGGGAGAACATTTAACAAACAGTCTAAATTGGAAGAATCAAGAGAATACTCTCCTCCCCATTCCATATTCAGAATCTGTAAAACACATAAAGAAAATCAGTTAAATAAGGAAAAAAAAAATCACAATATAAGTATCGAAGTTACAATGCTTTTTCTTCTGAAACACTTATAGTAGTAAGGTAAGCTTTTATGTAAGGAATTTAAAATTATTGTTGAATAGTTAAACCTAATGTCCGCTTCTGAGCATAGTTCTATAGAGACATGCACCTGCAAAAGAAGACAATTTTTTTTAGCATCTTTCATTTTCCATTTTCAAAAAATCAGTTATTTTAATATCAGCCAGAATAGAAGCTTTCTTCATTATATTAGGATTATATTTTTGCTATAATGACTAGAAATTATAAATATATACATTAGTGGATATTTTATTTTCTGTATGTGCATTTCTCCTCAAGTAGTAACTGTTTTCTGGTATTTAAGCACATTCAGCTCAGAGTCCCCTCCAGCCTGACCTTGAATGTCTCCAGGAATGGAGCATCCACCACCTCTCTGGGCAACCTGCGCCAGTGCTTCACTCCTACTGTAAAAATCTTCTTTGTTATATCCACTTTAAATCTCCATTCTTCTAGTTTGAAACCATCTCCTCTTTCCTTATCACTACAGACCATGATGAAGAGTCTGTCCCCTTCCTTCTTATAGCCCTCTTTAGCCTCTTATAGTCCTCTTTAGCCTCTTCTCTCAGACTTTCTCTCTGCCTTCTCTTCTCCAGGCTGAACAGCCCCTGTTCTCTCAGATTGTCCTTGTGGGGGTGATGTTCCATCCCTTGGATCATTTTTATGGCCTTGGATTACAGCCTGTCTTGTGAATACTTACTCATTGTACTTTCACTAAAAAAAAAAAGCCTTCTATCACTAGCAAGCTGTACTGAAAAACAAATTGTGACTGCCTACTCTGTTAGCATTCAATTGCTAAACTGTCAAGACTGACACTTTTTTTCCTCAAAATATTGCTTATTCCCATTTAATACTGAGCTCTCTAAAGGACTAAGCCTTCAACTGAGCAAAAAGCTGCTAAGCTTATGTGAATCTTCAGAAGTGATGGCATAAATAACACTTTCTAAGCCCCATTGCTAGCAGATAAGCCGCCCTTCTCTTTTTATGGAAATGCCTCCAGTCACATTTTGGGAATTTACCTTGAGATGCTACTATAGAAATAGACTGATGAATCCTGAGTGAACTGTCTGCAAGATACTTGCTCCAAAAAACCATCAGATAAAGACAGAAGGCCAAGACAGTATGTTCTCAAATATGAGTGCAGACGTACAAATAGCATAATGCCACATTTCTTCAAGGCAGTGTCACCACTGATTCTGGTTTGGGTCTTTCAAAACAAAGTTATGGGCTGAAGGTATCTTAGATCCTACTACTTTGCACATCTGAATTAACAGTTTAGGACAATAAACATTTAATGGATATAACACTTTCTAAAATTCTCAGAAGCTATACAATACCTCTCTGCAAATAACAATGCAAAGACTTCCCAATATTTTCAGATGTAGTTTTTTCATAGGAAAAAAAAATCACCTTGTAAACATGACAGCCAGGTTTTCATGTAGGCATTCCTGTAAGACTTGCATGTCATACATTTTCAGTTCACTTGTCAAAACAAGGTAATTATTTCTTTCACTTTTGGTTTGTGGGAGCAAAAGCAACATTTGATTAACCAATTTTCAAAAAAAGTTTTAACCGGTCAATAGTTTACTCCTTCATACAAAAACTATTCCCGCAATGAAAGACTGTAATGTTGAAAAAGTGAAAAGCAAAAATGTTTTAGAAGGAAAGAGCAAGTACAAGAAGACATAAATCACTTCAACTTGATCACTCAGTGCAACTGGTGCCAAGGCCCTAAGTGACTGGTTCCCTGTCTGATGATACGTGGCCATGCCAAAGCCAGCTACCAGCCCAGTGAGATGCTACCCTAGAGAGACACCCAGAGAGACCTAGACAAGCTTGACCAGGTGATCCTCATAAGGTTCAACAAATCCAAGTGCAAGGTCTTGCACTTGGGTCGCAGTACCTCCTGATGGCAGTAGTATGTAGCTATACTTCTCCCAGTTTATGACATAGACCACATTACTTTAAGGCTTCAACGATGAGTCTTTTGTTACTAGTAGAACATTACTAGATTATTTCTACTGCATAAAAATCCATTCCAACACTTCTAGCAACTTTGTATATTAAAATTAAATTGTAAATTGTAAATTAAATAAAATTATACCCTGCAAATGGCAGGTGGTTGAAACTAGATAAGGTTCTTTTCAACCCAGACTTGATTCTAAATGTTGACAGATTTTTTTACTGATAAATACTTCATATTGATCCTCCTTTATTTCTCTATTACCTTAGTCAATTACAATTCTTATTTTGACTTGAAGTCTGCTTCAGATATCACAGCAATGTGGGCAATTTTTTTGCTATAGTGCACATCACTTGGACAGGTAAATAAATAAATAAATAAATCTCAATACAGCTTTAAGGTTTAGTTTCCTTGTTTTGGTTGCATGATAACTTCTGCTATTTACCATAACTCACATATATGCATAGACAAAACCCCTTAGTGGAAAAAGAAAGGGTAGGCTGGTACTGCTTTATTCAATTTCCAGACTCATTTCCAGACAAAGACTAGTGTAGGCTGAATCTAATTATACTACAACTCTTCAATTTGGTCCTTGAAAAGCCATTCAATGGTTAAACAAGAACACAAGATATGTCATTAATTTCATTCAGTTAATGTCAATATATTATTTTAGCTCTTACATAATGAAACATTATCTCCAAATAGTTTCAGTGCAACCTTCAGTATTTTTCAAGGTAACTTTTAAATAACTATTTATATTTTGCATTTAAATAATAATTTGCACATACAAAGTATTTAGAAACTATTAGTATTTAGTATTTAGAAACTATTTAGAAACTATTACGCAATATGTTTAATCATTTATTAACTTTTTTTTTCCCCACACATAATGCTATGCACTTCAGCTTTGTGCAACACAACATCCTGGCAATCAAACTTCCTGGACTGTTACTTAATTGACAACTTAACCATCTGAATACTTACTTTCATAATTTTTACACCTAGAGATCTCATTCTGCATGTATCCAGGAAAATAAAACTATTACCATTAACATTAGTTTAAAAGGAGGCTGTCAGTGTACCTGTGATTTGTAAATAGGGATATTTCAAAGTGAATCACTGTATGCACACATAGATAGCCAAATCACTGAAGCTTTTTTTTTGACACTGCTTCTTATCTTAAAGGAGATATATCTTACTGCCCTCGCATCCTTGTAAAACTACAGGGGGATGAGAGAATTGACAAGATTTTTCATCACTAAGCTTACATTTTCAAAACATCATCTTAACAATGACTTTCCTTATCTATCTTTAGTTGCACAACTGTTCCCAGCCACTTTACAGCACAGAAGATGTCATCTGCAATTGCACAGCAGACAGCAATAGAGATGGGAATGGCTCAAGATAATATTCAATACGAAATTCCTACTGCACTGGATTTAGTATCACTGAATGCTTAAAGTTTTTTTGGACACAATATAGGACTAACACAAGAAATACATTTAAAAATCAGAATTTTTTGAGATCTATTGTGATATATACTAGTAAAAGCTTTTTAATCAACTCACCCTTTTAGAAATCTTTTCAAAATTTTATGCCTAAAATAAAACAGTAAAAAAGGGAAGAAATCAAAATTTCAATTTATAAAATAATAAATCCTTTTAGGTTCTGTTAATAATCAGACACAGAAGGTCTTTATTTATATTTTCCAGTTACCTTTTCATATCCACCTATTATCCAGATTTTGCCAAAGCATACACAGCTTTCACAAAAATATTACCATCTAGTGCCAGAAACAAGAACATTCAATGCATACCAAAAGTAGTATTAATGTGGGCAGTTTTTAGATAATAATTGGAATGCCACGAGTAACTCTGAAGCATGTTTTAGTAAAAATATTTTATAATGTTTCTGCTGCAGATATTTTATATTTAAATGTTAATTTTATACTCTAGTTTTAACCATCATATATATAAAACAAATTTTCCCCTGCATTTTTCAAAGAGATATTCTCAGTTTCTATAATTAAATTTGTAATCACATTGGACACATTCTTCCCCTCAGACTGTGCCATTATAAAAGACAGCAAATAAGAAAGTGAGATTAGGACACACCATAATATATAGGATTGAAGAAACACAGCCCTCAGTTTGTCTCGTATCTAAAGGAGTAACACTGGGTTGCACTTCTCTGATCTAAGACAGTTAAAAGCCACCAAATGAGAAGTACTGTTTAAAGCCTTGAAAACAGACTAGATACGTAGCTCCTGTAGAAATCTTCCTATACTAAGCATCAGCTAACATGTATTTCTGCAGAAAATGGTATGTCATGATTTTTAACATTTGTGGGTTCTCCAAACTATGATACTTTGTCCTGTTTTATATATACCTGTGCATGCAAAAATTTAAAATTGAGATCAACAAGTTCTCCTTATGACTTTGCTTGTATTCTTTGGATCACAAAGTGAAATGCTGAGAAAACAAAGAAGAAAATCAGCACTGCTTTCTTTGGTTTCCCTCCACATGAAACTTGTAAGAGATTCTCAAAGACAAAGAGAGAATTCTCATTTACATAAACTTAACCAAACACTATCGGTCAAAGGCAGTGACTTTAAAAGAAGTCTGGAGTTGCAAAGAAACGCCTAAGGAGTAACGTCAAAAAAAAGGAATAAAGCACAACATAACTATATAATCTTCAGAAAAGAAGAAACTGCTATTTCTGAGAAGTGAAACACTCTTGATATGATCTCTGTCTCTCAGCTATTTACCCCACAGCTGGAGCCACATAGTATACAATATCCAGCATTCAACATGTATCAGCCAGCAATTTTTGGAAAACAAACCAACAAACATTACACAACCTACATGAGAAAAGTCAGTGGTATTCCTCATCTTCTTATTAGCCTTTACAATGACTAAAACCATAACTGACAAAAAAAA